GGCTAGATCACTGTATATGTCAGGAAGAGGTTACCGCAGCAGCACAGAGCACTGGAGAGGGTTGGGGAGCTGCCTTAGCCAGCTGTCTATGGCAGGCATGAGGAAGTTCCCTCAGTCACATGGGACCACAGAGAATTGGCAGGAGTTCCCTCAGCAGGCAAGCAGGGGTCCCCCCAGACAAGTGGAGCACCACAAAGGGCCAGTGGTAGTACCCCCAGCCACATAAATGACCTTAGATGGTAGGCAGGAGTTCCCCTGTGGTAGAATGTGGGCGGGATTTCCCCAGCCATGTGTTAAGGCGACAGAGTGCAGGAGTTCCCTTGGCTGGTTGAAGGGCTGGCTTAATTGCCTTAGGTGAATGGGGAGTGACCTGGAGGCCAGCCATAGTGTGTGAGAGGAAAAAGAAAAGGGGGGTGGGCGGGGGAACAAAACCTGAGCCCATTGAGACTGTTGTGGGAGAAAAGAGAAGAGATAGAAAAACAAAAGTAAAGATATAGCTGAGCCCCGATCACCTGCCTGACCCTGAGTGTGGAGGGATTTAAACCCTGACCAGAGGTGGTGGCAAGCTGTGGCTGTGTTGAAGTAAAGCCCCTGGGCTAGCCAAAGGAGCCTGGCTCTGGCTAAAACTGTCCAAAGCATGTAAAACAGAATCTTGCCATCCTTGCCTCTAAGAAGCACTCTGCACTCTGGTCTTACTGCTCCCGATGTGTGTGTGTGTGTGTGTGTGTGTGTGTGTGTGTGTGTGTGTGTGTTCTTTCAGTAGTCCATGGTACTTTCAGTATTCTTCTCCAGCATCACAATTCAAATTCATCCATCCTTCTAATGGTCTTCCTTAGTCAATGCCCGACTTTCATATATTTATAAAGCAATACAGAATACCATGGCTTGGGTCAGGAGCATCTTAGTCCTCAAAGTAACATCCTTGTTCTTCAATACTCTAAAGAAGTTTTGTGCAGCATATTTACCTAATGCAATGCATCTTTTGGCTTCTTGATTGCTGCTTCCATGAGTATTAATTATGGATCCACGTAAGACAAAATCCTTGAGACCTTCAACCTTTTTGTTATTGTTAGGTATCATCAAATTGGGCATGGCTCATAGGGACCCAATGTACAACTGAATGAAATATTGCCCAATACTGCACCATTCTTAAAATTATTGCTATGTTTGAACCCATTGTTGAAGCCAGTGTGTCCATCATTCACCTTAAAGATTTTTTTACTTTTGGCTTGACTTCTACATTACTAAGCATGATGTCTTTCTCCAGAGACTGGTTCCTCCTGATAAGCTTCCCAATGTATTTAAGAAAAAGTCACACCATCCCCAATTCCAAAAAACAGTCTAATGTATTTTTTCAAAAATAGATTTGTTTGTTCTCTGGCAGACTACGATACATTAGATATTCTTTGTAAACACCATGATTCAGATTTGTCAATTCTTCTTTGATCTTCCTTATTCTTTAACCACCCTTTGTATGCCTATGAGGTGACTGTTAGTGTCATGGCTTGGATCAGACATACCTTAGTTCTCAGATGATATTTCTGCTTGAAAGTGGTTTTATTGC